TTTTCGTATTTCTTTAACAGTTTAACTTTAAACATTTTTAAACAAATTAAATAATTTTTTTAATTGTTTCCTTGAATACCTGGCTGATACACCTTCTGAGACTTTTTCTACTTCCTGTTTCCACTTTTCAGCATGTAAATAATTTAAAACCATAACTCACCAGAGAAAACAGCCAGAGCGAGGATTACTGCAAACACCCTCATGATGACCACAGATATGGACCCCTGAAACCAAACTGTTGTTTTAACTCTGAATAATCCCACAGATTAAAAACACCTCCAGGGCTCAGGCCTCACCTCAGTTGTCTGCTTTGATCCGTGACGCCTGTGAGGCAGAACCGAGCCGTCGATCAGTACTTATACCCAGGATTGATCCGGTGATTATCAGGACGACTTCTGACCCGGGGCCGAAGGTCTCAGCAGCGACGGTGTTGTTGTCATGTTTTACTGCTGTGGGTTGTTTTTGTCTCCACGTGGCAGCTCTGCACCTCCACACGAGTCCAAACCTTCACACAGAACAAAATGAACCGTTTGGGTTCACTCAACACCTTGTGCAACAGGTGCACCTACCAGAGCCCACCTTTCACACAGAGCAGTCTGAAGATGGAGCCTCTTTAAAGGAACGCTCAACATTAAAGAAAGGTTTAGATTTTCTGTACAGGAAGATAATCAGGTACCAAAAAGTTACTTAATTTGTCCCAAATACTCCAGTTCTTAGTGATCAACTTTTAAAAGTTAATAAAAGTTACTTGGGTTAAGATACGTTAACCAAAAAAGCTGGTCATGGCATAAACCTAAAGAACTGTTGCTTCAAATGTAGTGTATGTTTCAATACCAGAAAACATCCAGAAAAGTACAAAAATTGGGTTCAAAGTAAAGAAAACTCACTTTTTTTTTTTACCTGTTACTGCTGGACTCCACACCTATCAGTGCTGGTATGGTGCTACCAGAGCCGGCTCTTGGCATAGGCGAACTAGGCGGTCGCCTGGAGCGCCATCTGCTGGAGGGGGCGCCAAACTGTAGAAGAAAAAAACATTTGTAATCCCTGGTTGTAMCTCTGCTCAGCGCCCCTTTCAGTTAGCTTTGTCTTAAAAAACAATAATAAGGTATTACAGGAAAAATAAACTCCTACTACTACAAATCCTGCTGACATCATTCTGACACAGTGAGGACTGAGTTTGTCAGCCGAGGACCTTAWGAGGTAAAATCAGACTTATATTTTCCAAAAAGAGAGGACTTTCTAAATGTTTGCACAAATTATGAACAGGGTCTTTTGTTTACCCTTGTCATTTGATTTAATTATATTTACTTTATTTATTCATTTAATTTGTTGTGTGATGTTTGTTTGTGTTTAAAGCAAATAAATCTAAGTTTACCATAGTAAACTAGTGGGGGGGGGGCCTTGCGCTTCAACTCGCCTAGGGCACCAAAATGGCTTGAGCCAGCACTGGGTGCTACTATCAGCTAACAGTGGAACTACTATTTGTGTTTTAATGTGATCATCGGTTTTAGAGCTTAAGAAGCATTAAAAATCAAATTAACAATAACGCGTGTATAACACACACACACACACACACACACACACACACACACACACACACACACACACTTCATGGATGATTTTTAAGGTTAAACATCTAGTATTAGACATAAATAAATACAGTAAGTTTTCATTTATAGGATTAGCTTTTTCACTCTATGAAAGCTGTTAGCAGCCAAATTAGCTAAATTAGGTTTACTGCTAACAGCTAACTAAAAGCTAACAGGTTGGTCTTCAGCTCAAACGAGACAAAGACGTGTGAAGCACGGCTGATAGTCGTCTTAGCGGTTAGCTGTTAGCTTCTGCTAATTTTTACTCGTTAAGCTGTTTAGCTTTAGCTTCCACTATTTATTTATTTATTTATTTATTTTTAGACCAGTGATTCCCAACCAGGGGAACGTGTACCCCTTGGGGTGTGCAAGCATATTACAGGGGGTGGGTGGAAAAATTTTCCAGGCGTGTAAAAGAATTAATAAAAACTGGACAAAGACATGTAGGGACCTATAATTTCCGCAGTGCTGAAAATGCAAACTGAATCATGAAACTGACACAAAATAAAATCCAATATTAAAACGCTGAAACTCACTGAATTTTTTTCATTTAGGGTATTTGATGGATTTTGGACGCTGCTGTTTTCTGCGCCTGCAGTTGCCTGTTTTATTTATTTAATTACTTGTTCACTTTCAAGGCAACATTTTTATCTTTATGTTTAATTCAAGTCGAAAAGAATAAAATACCTGAGATTTAAACGTTCTAGAGGGTTAAATAAAAAAACTAGAGAATTTGCATTTCCGGAGAAAATGCTAGTGTGAATGCCTCTTGCTGATAACTTTAGCTGAAGCTAAGAAACAAATTGATGATGTCACTGATGTAACTGATGATGTCACTAATGACATCATCATAACCAAAATTCAAAAAATTGAAATTGCTAAAAAAAAAAAAACTATAAAATTTTAAGAAACCAAAAATCATGGCTGGAATGTCCTTAAGTAGCTGAACATTTTGTTATATGAATGGTTTAAGTAGCATAAAAAATGTGGAAGGAGAAGCCGTCCAAAAAATGTACCCATTCAAAGTCAAAGGGAAAAAAAACTGCTTAAAAATTGAAATTACTAAAAAAAAAAAGTATAAAAAGTTACGTTACGAAAAGCCATAGCTGGATTGTCCTTAATGAGATGAACATTTTGATATATGAATGATTTAAATAGAACAAAAACTGTRGAAGGAGAAGCGGTTCAAAAAACGTACAGAAGAAACTGGAATAATAAAGAATAAAGAGAAACATGAAAACAACATAATGAATGCTGGAGGCATGSACACAATTAATAATCAACTGTTGTACATGATAGTTTTGGAGAATCATCTTTACGTTTGACTGAGGGGTACTAGTGGTCTGACAAAATGGATCAAGGTGTACACAAGTCCAAAAAGTTTGGGAACCACTGGTTTAGACCATGAGGAAATCGGGCTAGAGGAGCTATCATGACTTAATGGTCGGAGAGAGCGGCCATATTGTTCAGGGTGAGGACGACTCAACACACAGCCTGTTATCTGGTAAAGCTGAAAATGGTTACCATCATTTTGATTTGATAGAAACGTTTGTCAGTAAATATATCAGATAAACACGTGTTGCCAGGTCTGCAGAAGCTATTCAATGAAAAACTAACCATAATGAACCGTTTGCATTGACAGTCCACCCCTTCCTGTTATTATTATTTGTTAATTATGATGTTTTTATTGTTGCACTTGTTGGTTTTCTCTTTAAAATCTAACAATAAATGATGGATGGAAATATACCCCATAAAATCTGAAGAAAAAAAATAGGTTGAAAGAAAACCTGAAGAGGGTTTTGGAATTTGAACTGTGTTTTATTTGGGTGAAAGTGTGTCAAATGAATTACATAAGAACTTCAGAAAATCACATCAATTTGTGAAAAATAAATATTTGGACTCATTTGATTGGGACAGAGTTTGGTTTTAGCTCATTAACTGATAGATGCAGCAGGGGCCACTGATGGATTCAGTATTTGTTGGTGTACAAGGACCAGTCCTGCCACATGCCCTCCAGCTGCTCCTGCAGGATGTCAGGGTTGTTCACCAGTTTGATCTGGTGCTTCTTCCTGTGTGGAATGTGCTTATTGATGTCGTTGGTTGTTTGTGCCAACTTGGCATCGAAGTCGTCGGTCATACGGATCATGGCGATCTCAAATTCTTCCAGGCTTTTGTACGCCTTCTTCTTCATCTTGTGGTCTGGTTTGTCATGTTTATCATCATCATGATGATGGTGGTGGTGGTAGCCAAAATCATGGTGGTGGTGGTCAAGATCATGGTGGTGGTGGTCAAGATCATGGTGGTGGTGTTTGTGGCCAAGATCATGGTGGTGGTGTTTGTGGCCATGATCATGATGGTGGTCGTGGTGGCCATGATGATGGTGGTGCTGGTGGCCATGATGATGGTGGTTGTGGTGGCCATGATGATGGTGGTGCTGGTGGCCATGATGATGATGGTGGTGGTGGCCATAATGATGGTGGTACTGCTGGCCACGATGATGGTGCTCCTGCTGGCCATGATCATGGTGGTGGTGCTGGTGGCCATGATCAATGTGGTGGTCATGATGGTGGTGGCCATGATGGTGGTGGCAGTGATGGTCGTGGCCATGATGGTGGTGGCCATGATGGTGGTGGCCATGATGGTGGTRGCCATGATGATGGTGGCAGTGATGATGGTGGCCATGATGGTGGTGGCCATGGTCAGAGTCCATGTCTTCAAAGTAGTCATCCAGATGTTCATAGATCTCCTCGACATCCTTCATCAGGGCATCCCTCAGACCTTCAGTGTCCAAGGATTCCATGTAGTTAGCAGCATGCTTCTTAAGTTCCTCAATCTTGCTACGGATTTTATCTGCCAGCTCCTTGGTTTGCTGCTTCATATCAGCCTCAAGGTCCTTTAGAAACTCCTCAATGTGCTCACGTATGTCATCTACCTCGTGCAAAAACTTTTGAAACATTTCGTTGAGCCACATGACTAGATGATTGTGCATAATGCGGAAGTAATTGGTGGTGGTTTCCCAGCTCTTTGAAATAATATCACTGCAAAGACAAACAGAATTCTGGTTAAAACCTTGTTTTCATCAGATACTGAATAATTTTAAACTACAGTTAATGATTTCTTTGAGATTTTTCTTTACACCTCAGTGAAAACCAAACACCTCTTACCACAGACTCTCTCCTGGAGGGGAGTGCCTGATTTCCCACACATGGTCTTTGTCGCACTTGGTTGATTCTCCAACGTAGTCCCAGAAAGCAGTTTTTACCATTTCAGAGCGATATTCGGGTTGATGGTGAGGCCCATGATGGTGGTGTTTATGGTGGTGCCCATGGTGGTGTTTATGGTGGTGCCCATGGTGGTGTTTATGGTGGTGCCCATGGTGGTGTTTATGGTGGTGCCCATGATGGTGCCCATGGTGGTGCCCACGGTGGTGCCTATGATGGTGCTGCTGACCGGGGCCAGGATGAGATTTTTGTTGTTGCTGTTGGACGTCTTGACCAGCATAACAGCCTGTTGAAGACACAAAGTTTAACACATTTGTTTCCTCCGATACAGAATTTTTCAAACAAACAATTGAAGGATTCTGACCTGCCAAAAAGACGAAGGCAAACAGGAAGAGGACCTTCATGACTGCACTGAAATGAAACAGAATTAGCTCTTTGTCACCAGGTTGTTGCTTGGATCAAACACCGAGGAGCTGGAGCTGTACCTGATCCGTCAGTCAGCTGCTGAATGTGAGGAGTTCTCTCTGGGTATTTATAGGAGCTGGTTTGTTTGGAGGAAACCGTGAATGTGATGAAGTCAGGTTGAGATAGCTCATGACATCAGGATGTACGTTCTCATGGACATCAAGTACAGATGATACAAACCAAAAGATATTTGTTAAATGGGACATGCTGATGAGATTRTTGTTCGGGTGACACTGGGTAGATTAATTATCAGGAGAAACAAGACACTGAAGACAACATTCATGTTCATGTTCTGTGGTTTTATGTCAGCGTCAGATGATGTGCTTTTATTTTATTGTAGTAACAGAAATATAACTAAACAACTCACATGTTCATTCATTAGCTTTTAGCTTGTAATTTATGCTCTAAATACTTTGTTTGCTAAATATTCTRTGAATCACTGAAGAATTTGATTGAGTCTTGTAGAAACCATTGGTTTGTGCATTTGTAACAGATTCTAAACGTCTTCCTCAATCAAACGACCTTAAAAACACTTATTTTTTTATGTACTCRATCAGTTTTACTGATAATGGCCTAGTATTTGGTATTGTATCCTGAAGTCATCCCCAACACATATTTTGTGCACAAAGCTTAGAAAAATGTGTCGTCTTTTGAGAAATAATCACCGAATGTGCATCTAAAACTKATTAACGTTTGGAGTTAACCTGGTTTAAGATGGCCGTCACAGCTGATCACATTGAACCAACACAAAGATGCTATAACTTTCTGAGTGTTTAGTTTTAATTTTTGCAGTTGAACAAGAAACATTTTCTTTTAAATTKATGTTTGACATTAAAATAAAGGGTTTGGAAAAATCCTTATAAACATTAGGGCTGGGAATCTTTTACTCTCTCATGATTAAATTTGATTCTGATTTTTGGGGCCACGATTTGATTCTAAATCGATTTTTCATTCAAAACTGATCATCTGAGCCCATTTGTTGTGTTCCTAAAGTGCTTCATCTTCATTTTGTAAACCTTGCACAAAGTGAAGCTCATGTCAAAATCAGACTCATTCATAAAAAACAAAATGAGCCCAAATCTTTGCACTCGGTGCAGTCAGGGTCAGTTGAATCTCTTTCCTACAGTTTTGTAGTTTCCTCTTTGTTTTTGTGTTTTCTGCACATTCATCTGACGTCAGGACGTTCCATGTATGGAAGCAGACAGCCACTGGATTTGCTTTATTATTTTATTTATAAAAATCGATTTTGGGACATTTTGAATCGATTCTGAATCTTTGTAAATGAGAATCACAATTCTGATGTAAAACTGTTTTTTGGTGCACCCCTATTAATCATAGAAATAAACAATTAAAGATGCTTTTTTTCCCTTGATGTTTCAAAGGCAAACAATTCTAGGTAAAAACAGTTTTTATTGTAAATATATTTTTAACCCTTTTATCACAAATGAATCAAACATTGTAAGTGAATTTATTTTCTTAATATGAATTAGTTAAAACGTGAAAACCTCAGTTTGCTGCTGTTACTGGTTGATTAAAAGAACAGACTGGTTTATTCCCAGTGAACATCAACAAGCAGTTTTCAGTTTGAATCATCAGCAGATAAAATGATCCGACTCATAAATATGTTGTTTTTTTAAGGCTCAGCTTTACAACGGGCCTGAGCGCCATTAAACTCCTTTTATAGATCATTTAGATGTGAGCAGAACTTTGATCCGGTTCTGACTCGATGATTATCTGCAGAACACTGTGTGTCCTCACACAACTCAACAGACTGATAAGAAACTGAATGTGAAGTCTTTCTCTGAGGAGAAACTGCTGATAAACATGTTTTCATTTGACAAAGAGGCGCCTTGAAGGAAACCACAAAACGYCTCAAAGTGTCAAATAAAACATTAAATCTTATTAACAACTCATCTGTAAATACAGCAGGTTCTTTAAACGTTCAGTCAGCTGTGACAAATTTCTGATTAAATTCTGAAAAACTGCTGGATTAACATTTTAATTTTGACTTGAAGAAGTTGTAAAGATTTCAGAACTTCACATTATGTGGTTTGTAATTTGCTTCAGAATATTTTTACATTTCTTCACTTTTTCCTACATTTTTCAGTCAAAAAGTAAACAAATTAAACATTTTAAAAGAAGTTCTTATTGAAATAATTGTGATTGATAAACTCAAGACACATCTAAAGTGAATAAATTAACCTTTAGTTGAAGCAAACTGGAATCTGTCCGTCTCTAATTTATAATAATTCCCTCTGATCAGGGTAATCATGTTTCATGTACTTATATTTCTTGGTACCTATGTTACCTTGGCCTAGTATTATGTTCCGTTGTACTTATGTTCACCAGTAYCCATATTTCTCAGTATTTATGTTTACCAGAAGATATTTTTACCAGTACCTATAGAGCACCAAGATTTTCCAGTTATGTTCCCAGGTACTTTCGCTTCTCAGTATAAGTTCCCCGCTTGTTTTGTTCACCAGTACTCATATTTCCTGATACTTTTCTTTACCAGTACCCATATTTCCTGATACTTTTCTTTACCAGTACTCATATTTCCTGATACTTTTCTTTACCAGTACCCATATTTCCCGGTAATTTTCGTCACTGGTACCTATATTTCCCAGTAGTTTTCTTTACCGGTAACCATATTTCCCAGTAAATATGTTCACCGGAAGATATTTTTAGGTTCTAAATGTACATCAAATGATTACTCTGAGAGTTTTAATAAATTAAAAGTTGTTTTCTAGAGTTTTTTAATCTATTAATCTCTTTCAGCACAAACATAAATTTCAGATTATGAATTTATAACTGATGGAAATTTTAGGACATTTGAAGTGTTTCATCTTCATGTTTCTGAATTAAACTGAGCTCAGAGGAAACAGGTGAATCAGATTTGGGGGGTAAAGTCCAGGTGTGGTGTCACAGACTTTGATCAGGTGTGTTTGTGACTCTAATCCAACAGAAATAATCTGACTAAATAAATCTCACCAAACATTGTTTTTAAACGAGACAGTTTTTATTTTAAAACCTGTCTCTGGTCCGACTGATGGTTTTTATGAACGTCATGTTTCATTTCTGTTCCTAGTTGGGTCAGAACCATCTAGAACCACTGACCCTGAACAGAACCGTCTGAATGTTTCTCCTGTTGTTGTTTTGTTGGTTTTAAACCTTTAACGGTTCTGATTCAGTGGATTTACAGCTTCGTGATGTGGACTCACAGTGGTGACAGGAACAGGTCCAGCAGGGCAGATCGGACTGGACTTTACCCCCCACCATGGATATAAAACCCAGGAGCGCTCGTCTGTTCTGCACCAACTCATCCTGCTCTGAAGAACATACCTGCCTCTGAAAGGTGAAACTTTTAACAACATCTTCGTTTATTTAATCAGTTTCAGGATCCTGACTGAAACTGAACTTTTATTTTTCACCCAACAGGAAGAAGTCCAATCATGAAGGTTCTGGTGGTTCTCGCTCTCCTCTCCGGTAAGTAAAAACCGGATCAGACAAGACTCAGGTGTGACTGAAACATATCTCAGGTGTGTCTGAAACATGTTTCAGGTGTGTCTGAAACATCTCAGGTGTGTCTGAAACATATCTCAGGTGTGACTGAAACATGTCTCAGGTGTGACTGAAACATATCTCAGGTGTGTCTGAAACATGTCAGGTGTGTCTGAAACATCTCAGGTGTGACTGAAACATATCTCAGGTGTGACTGAAACATATCTCAGGTGTGACTGAAACATATCTCAGGTGTGACTGAAACATATCTCAGGTGTGTCTGAAACATGTCTCAGGTGTGTCTGAAACAT